AGACTTTATGACAAAATTTAAAAAAGGAGCAAAATACTTATTAAAGTGATTAAATTTTGTGAAATGTTGTGGGCCAGCAGAAGGTGTGATGGTTAAAATGCTGGACCCACACATGACTGACTGCAGTTTGACTCCCAGACCCAGTGATTTGAAACTCACATTGGGCACATGCATGTGTGTGCCTAAAATCCTGAGAGGAGAATAGAGGAGAAAAGATTGTGGCATGGCCATCACCCCTTAGGGGTGATTTATCACTTTCTGTCTATGGAGCAAGCCAAAATTGCAAAAAATCAAGAAAGAAGTAAATTGAGGACTTTTAAAAAGACAACCTTGGGGCCAGCAAGTGGCATAGTGGGTAAGGCACTGGACTCCCACGTGGTTCGAGTCCCGTACCCATCAGCTTGAAACTCACACCAGGCACATGTGCATGCATGACCAAAATCCCAAGAGGAGAATGGAGGAGAAGGGATTGCAGCATGACCATCCCCAGGCGGGTGATTTCTTGCTTTCTGTCTCTATGTCTCTATGTCTCTCTGTCTGTCTGGTGAGCACATGCGCCCTATAGTGAAAACCTCTCCAAAAAAAAAAAAAAAGAAAAGTAAAGCTTGTGAAATGTGTACATTTTTTCCCTAGTTTTTTAAAAATTATTAATTACACCGGACAAATTCAAGCAACTTAATATAATTAGATACATGATAATACTGCCAACCTTCCGTAGCTGGGTGTTCTGCATCTTTGCTGTAGGTGCAGCCAGGTCACACCACTTGTTATAAAATGGGGGAAGAGGTGGCTCTCTAAAACAGGATGTATATGTAAATATTATACATTTTATATAAAGAACTTGGAAATCCTCCTCTGTGGGTTTTTAAGTTGGAGATTGTAAAGCGTATTTAAAAAAAATAATCTTTGGGGCCATCAGGTGGCGTGAAGGTTAAGGCACTGGATCCCACATAGCCAACTGTGCAGTTTGATTTCCAGACCTGGCAGTGTCTAAAATCCCTAGAGGAGAGGGTCCAGCAGGTGATATAGTGGTTAAGGGTGCTGGACTCCTACATGGCTGACCACAATTCGAGTCCCAGATCTGGCGACTTGCTTTCTCACTTTCTCCCTTTCCCTCTCCCACTCTCCCTCTCTCTTTGTCCCTCTCTGATCAAGTTAAATTAAATAAATGAATAAATAAAGTTAAATAAAACAATTCTTAAAAAAAAATTCCAAGAAGAGAATGGAGAAGAGATTGCAGTGTGGCCATAGCCCCCCACCCAGGGATGCGATTTCTCACTTTTTCTTTCTTTCTGGCAAGCACACATGCTCTGTGGCAGAAATCTAAAAAATAATAATAATCTTTGATAGATTTAAGAAACGTATATTCTTTTTAAATTTAGAATTCTTTTATTTAACTTTATTTATTATTATTATTATTATTTTCCAGTTTGATCAAACAGAGAGAGGAAAAGTGAGAAAGCAAGCTACCAGGTCCAGGACTCGAACGGTGGTCAGCCATGTGGGAGTCCAGTACCTTTAATCACCACACACCTGCCAGCCCAAGGAAAGTGTATTTTGTAGCAATGCAAAGAATAACATTTGGTATTGTAGAAACAAACACTATGGTTTGATGATGAGTTTTTGTTTCTTGATTGTTAAATGTGACTTATCTTTATAGAAACATGTCTCTTCAATATTATATAAAAGTTTAAAATATTATCTTTTTAAACATTTGCTCTAGGAGTATCTGATTTTAATCTTCGTGTTGCATTGCAAACACTTTTGAAAGAGTACTGTGAAGTATGCAAATCTCCCAAAGAGAACAAGTTTTGTAGTTTTCTGCAGACATCTAAGGTTCGCCCTCGGAAAAAAGCAAGAAAGTACCTCTATGCAGTAGGTGAGAGCTGTTTAACAAGTAATAGAAATTATCTTCATTTTCAGGGACAAACCCTTTAAGTTTTTTGTTATTACCATACATGTCAAGTATGTCAAGGAAGCATGTTCAATTTCATATGTAGGCTACAGATTTATAAATTGCATTGATATATTATGGTAAATACTGCTAAAAGTAAACATTTATTTGACATCTGTTGATCTGTAATCTAAATGTATGGATTTTTAGATTACCCAATTATCAAATCATCGACTAAAGAAGCATTGCTTTAAGACTTAAAATATTTTTTAATTCTAGTGAAAATTAAGGAAAATGAATCTCAAAATTTTAAACTATTTACAGTATCTTTTTTGGCCATTTGGGATAAGAATAATTGGGCCACCTCGTAGCCTAGTGACTAACAGAACTGGATCCCACATGACTGACCATGTGGTTCAAATCTCAGTTTCAGACTTTTTTTTAGAATTTTTTAAATTTAACTTTATTTATCCATTTGTTTATTTTAAATTTGACCAGCGAGAGAAAGTGAGAAAGCAAGCCGCCAGTTCAGAAGTTGGCACATTTAAGAATATATTTTATATGCATTTATTTCTTGGTATAGAATAGTTATACTGAATATTTAAGTGTAGAGGGCTAGTTTTTCCTCATTACTGTCACTTCCATACTTAGCATTTGCTATGTACTCCCTGCCCTTCCTTTGTTTAGGTGGGTATACTCGGTTGCAGGGAGGTCGCTGGAGTGATAGCAGAGCCCTCAGCTGTGTGGAACGCTTCGACACCTTTAGCCAGTACTGGACCACCGTGTCTTCACTTCATCAGGCTCGATGTGGGCTGGGAGTAGCAGTGCTAGGAGGGATGGTCTACGCTATTGGAGGTAATATAAAATGTCTCGTTTCCCTCCTTAGACTAGTTGGCTACATCCTTATATTGTAGGTGCTATATATATTCATAGATATGGTTGTGCCCAGTACATAATACTGAATAAATGAATGAAAGAAAGAAAAGGAAAACTCTAGATGTTGAGTATTTCACACCATAGGGATACTTTACCATAAGATAGAATACTAAGGTTTAGTTTTGTCTTGTCTTGTTTTATTTTTAAGGTTTTTGCTACAGGTTGTGTGTGCTCACCAGACAGAGACAGTGAGAGAGCAAGTGAGAAATCCCCCTCCCTTGGGGGATGGCCACACCACAACCCCTTCTCCATTCTTCTCCTGAGATTTTGGACACACAATTGTCCAATGTGATTTTCTAAAAAGAATTATTTTATTTAACTTTATCTATTCATTTACTTATTTTAATTTGACCAGAGAGGGATAGAGAGAGAGAGAGAGAAAGAGAAAGCAAACCACCAGGTCCAAGACTTGAACCATAGTTGGCCACGTAGGAGTCTAGCACCTTAACCACTATGCCACTTGCTGGCCCCCTGAGGTTTTGTCTTAATGAAAAGATTTTTAGTAAAATGTGGCACCAAACTTTAGATCAACATTTACAATAAAATTTTTAAAAATTCTGAAAGCTGCTTTATGATTCATTTTTTAAAAGTATTTATTTAATTTTATTTATTATTATTATTATTTAACTTGCTGTAGGGCATGTGTGCTCACCAGAGAGAGAGAGGGAGAGAAAGTGAGAAAGCATGCTACCAGATTCAGAACTTGAACCACAGTTGGCCATATGGGAGTCCAGCACCCTAACTACCATGCCACCTGCTGTCCCCTATGATTCATTTTTAATAAACCAAATTATCTGGACACTAGGATATATAAAAACCAACTCTGTGGCATATGTTTCTAAAGAGAAATAAATGGTAACTTTAATTTTTTAAGAGTTTTTTTTTTTTAAGAATTATTTTATTTCTCTTCATTTTAATTTGACCAGAGAGGGACAGAGTGAGAAAGAGAGAGAAAGGGAAAGTGAGAAAGAAAGCTGCCAGGTCCAGGACTTGAACTTCAGTTGGCTATGTGGGAGTCCAGCACCCTTAACTATCACACCACCTGCTGGCCTCAGAGAGATATTTTTTTTTATTGTAGGCATGCACTCACCAGATACACAGATAAACAGAAAGCGAGAAATCACCCCTTGGGGAATGGGCATGTTGCAATCCCTTTTCCTCCATCCTCCTCTCAGGATTTTGGGCATGCATGCACACTCATGCCTGGAGTGATTTTTAAGCCGTTGGGTATGGGACTCGAACCGCAGTCAACAACTTGGAAGTCCTGCAACATAACCATTAAGCCACGTGCTGGTCCTGGTAATTTTTAAAATATTAATAGTTACTTTTGGGTGGCTGGCGGGTGGCATGGTGGTTAAAAGCGCTGGACTCCCATATGGCTGACCATGGTTCAAGTCCCAGACCTAGAAGCTTGCTTTCTAACAATTTCTCTCTGGTCAAACTGGAACATAATAATAATAATAATAATAATAATAATAATAATAATAATAATAATAAAATACAGTTAAATAAAATAATTCTTTAAAAAAATAGTTTCTTTTGAATAATGAACTTTTATTATTAGTTAAGTCATGATTCAAGGTCCCAGGGTAGGGATCACCATGCACCCAGGTCCCATTTCACCACCTGGAAGAAGGATGTAGGGCAGAGGAGAGGTAGGGTGGATCCAGTTCAGATCTTCCCAGGAAATGTATTTTCTGCCCAGGAGTTGTCCCAGGCTGAGACCCAGGATGTGGGGTAGAGGGACTTATAAATACACCGGTGCCATTAGTCACAGAGAGGTCGCTGTGGTGGTTGCATTCTCATAGTAGTGGAGGTCCAGGTAGTTCTTGAGTTGGCCTCAATGTCTTCTGCCACCGTCCTGACTCCTAAAGATGCCTCTGCAGCAGTTCGCAGCTCAGTGTGATCCTCAGCAAAGACTGGATAATGTCCTTGTAGCAAGGCTAGGTAGATTATATCTAACCCGTACAGCTAAGCTTTTTGTTTTATTTCTGTGTTTGTTTTTCTCTGGAGAGTATATTACTACCACTCAAAACTGTTAAATGAATAAATGCCATGGTTCATCAGAAAATTACAACAGAGAAATTCAAGTTTTAGGCAATTATTATCCTTTTTCCCCTAAGGAATTATTTTATTCAACTTTATTTATTTTAATTTGACCAGAGAAGGACAAAGAGAGAGAGAAAGTGAGAAAGCAAGCTTCCAGGTCTGTACTACCTTCCTCTCCCTGCTTCTGTTTTATTTCTCTGAAGTCTGTTCCATACATTGTGGCCAGAGAGGTTCTAAAATTCAGGTCCGGCCATGTCATCGCCCTGTTTACCCTTAAAATAAAATCCAGTCTTGGGAGTAGATGGCTGCACAGTGGTGGAATGCAGTGCTCTGTGGGGCTGACCCACACTGGGAGGGTTTGGTGTGAGGGCTTCCCTGAACTTTCCAGGAATGCACATGCCCACGGTCTGGGGCGGACTGCGCTGAGGATGAATCATGGCCCTGTTGTGGGGATACTGTGTTTCTCTACTTCCTTTATGCATGGAAGAAATGAATGAATAAACTTAAAAAAACAAACAAAAAGATGAAATCCAGTCTCAATCATAGCCCATAAGACTGATTATATGATTTGAGTACTGGACCTGGTAACTTGAAAAATACACCAGGCACATGTGCATGCATGCCAAAAATCCTGAAAGGAGGGAAAAATGGAGATGGGATAGTGACATGACCATTCCCCATTGGAGGAGGGGGCTGCTTTCTCACTCCCCCTACCATCTCTCTCGGGTGAACACATGTGCCCTCTAGCAAATGAAAAAAAAATTGTTATCAATAGTTGCTTTGTATATGATTTTTTTCTAGGATTATACCTATGAGTAAAATCAGTGGTATCTATGGCTAGGAATGGGTTTTAATGTATCCAGATCTTCAATTTTTTTTTTTTTGAGAGGTTTTGTTATAGGGCGCATGCGCTCGCCAGACAGACAGAGAGAGACATAGAGACAGAAAGTGAGAAATCACCCCCAGGGGGGGATGGTCACACCACAATCCCTTCTCCTACATTCTCCTCCTGGGATTTTGG